CAGCCCCAGCCCCAGGGTCGGGGGCCCTGCTCTGAGGACCTCCCTCTTCCTATCTGGCCCCCACCAGCATCACTCCAGGGAACTCTAGGTTCTAATCCCAGCCTTGCCTCTGACCCACAGTAGGAACTGGGCCAGGTCCTTCCCCAGCCTGAGCCTCTGGGTCCTCACCTACCTCTGTAGCCAATGGTAGTAGGAGCACTGATTTGAAGACCACTGAATCCAAATCCCAGCTACACCACTCCCTTGCTGTGTGGCCTTGATTAAGTCAATAAGTCACCTCACCTCTCTGAGCCTCAGATTCCTTACCTGTTCAAAAACAGGTCCTATCCTGGAGGGTTGTAGGGATCCAGGGAGTTAGTATTTGTAAAACTACGGGCACAGTGTGGGTAGGGAGGTCCTGGGGCCACACTCCCAACCTTCTCCTCCCTGGCCAAGCTGCCTCTGCAGCCCACCTGGGCTGCCTGGCCTCCATCCCTGGTGCTTCCATCCCAGAGAGGGGAAGGAAAGGCATTGTCTTCACTGGCACCTATTATGTGCCACACTGGCCACACCAGACAGTCCCAGAGGCGGTCTCATTTCACCCTCGTGCACTGTCACACAGGAAACCAGGCCAGGCCACTGGGTGGATGCCAGGCTTCCTCAAGGTCCTTACCCCTTTGTCCAGAGCAATGGCTTCAGGCCTGGGAGAGCCTTGGAACCAGCCAGGGAGGCTGTTTTAAAAGGAGTACAGGCTGCGGGTGGAGCCCAGTACAGGCGAGGCCTGAGGTCAGCTTCCCAGTATCACAAAGAGAAGGAAGGAGAGGGGGACGAGGCAGGGAGGGCGGGTTCCACTCCGAGTGTCCGACTCAGCAGATCTGGAGGGGGCCGGGAACATGCATGTCCAGCAGGGTTGCCGGTGGGGCTGTCTGTCCAGGGACACTCGGAGAACCATTCTTCTGAGATAATAAAACCTCAGCTGGACACATGAGACCCAACAAAAGACTACATATCCCAGCTTCCCTTGTAGTTAGGCAGGATCATGTGAACACTTCTAGCCAATAGGATGCAAGGAGATGTGGCAGGAGTTGAGCAGCCATCTTGTGTGTCAAGATGGAAGCTACATGTTAAAGATGGCAGAGAAACTAGTCAGAAGGAGCCTGCTTTGTGGAGTCCCAATACTCATCTGGATTGTTTCTTTTTTCTTTTTTCTCTTTCTTTCTTTTTTCCCCTAATTGAGCCCAGGGACCATTTACCACTAAGCTACATTCCCCAGCCCCTTTTATTTTTTTAATTTGAGACAGGGTCTTATTAAGTCATTGAGGGTCTTGCTCAGCTTCTTGCTGAGGCTGGCCTTGAACTTGTGATCCTCCTGTCTCAGCCTCCCAAGTCTCTGGGATTACAGGTGTGCACCCCCAAACCAGCCTCTGAATTATATCTTTAGCCTCATTTTGTGATAAAGGAATAAACCTCTATACTGCTTAAGTTCTTATGCTGGGGATCTTTGTTACAGCAGCTGAAACAACATACTGGAATCTACATGGTTAATACACAGAAAATCAGTAACAACACCCTCAAGACCATGTGGCAAGCACTGGCCCAAGTCCCTCTCATTAATCCTCACAAGAACACTGAGACATGGGCATTATTATTCCCATTGTACAGATGAGGAACCTGAGGCCTTTAGAGGTAGAGTCCCTACATTTCATCCAGGACAGCCAACGTTCTGTCCTTCACCCTCCACCTCTTTGGAGACTTTTCAAGTTTTTAGGTGAGTCACAACATGGCTTCCGTAAGGGTTTGGCCCGTGGCCATGGCCACACGGGCATGGCTCACATTTGCAGCCACTCACCGTAAACACGCTGCCACCAAATCAGCAGGGCCGTCAACCCAATGAAGAAGAAGACGCAGCCCATCACTGTCTTCCACTCGTTGGAGCGCCGGTTCATCTCCGCAAAGGTCTGGTGGTACTGGAGCCGGTACACTGGAAGCAGGTGGGGTGCAGGGAAGGGGCTTCCATTTCAAAGACCCTAGGCCAAGAGTTGACCTCCCCCTTCCTCCAGCAAATGCCATTCATCTGGAAAATCCCCCTCTCCCCTCCCAGTACTGGAGATGGAATCCAGGGGCATTCTACCACCACTAAGCCACATCCCAGGCCCTTTTATTCTTATTTTTTATTTTGAGACAGGGTCTCACTAAGTTGCTTAGGGCCTTGGTAAGTTGCTGAGGCTGGCTTTGAACTAGCGATCCTCCTAACTCAGCCTCCTGAGCCGCTGGGATTACAGGTGTGCGCCACCACACAGCAAATGCTTATTGAGATTGTACTACATTCAAAGGGTGGCCAAGAAGTGGTGATGTAGCACTGAATAAAGTGGTTGAAAATTTCTGCCTTTGTGGAGCTTGGAGCGGGACACAAATGGCAAATCTTCAGACAGACTGTGGGCAAGGGCTACTTCAGTTATAGTGGTCAGAGAAGGTCTCTCAGAGGAGGTGACACTGGAGCGGAGGCTTGAAGAAGTCAAAGGGAGAATAGTCCAGTAAGAACCAGCAGCTAGTGCAAAGGCCCGGGGTGAGTGAAGGGGATTGTGGCTGTAGTAGGATGAACTACAGAAGAGAAAGTGTTGCAATCTGGTGTCAGCAGCAGCCAGATCACCCAGGACCTTGCCAGCCACAGACAGGAGTTTGGATTTCATTCTGAGTTGGGGAGGACAGACTGTAGGAAAGGAGGTGACAAAGCTGTGGTTTTATTTAACCCAACTTTTATCAGGACCGACCCTCGCTTCCCTCACACTGAAGAATGTTTTTATTCTCTACTTTCTCATTTACTGCTTATCCTCCCTACTTGACTCTAAGCTTCAGGGGGACAAGGACCCACTCTTCCCTCTTAGATCCCAGCACCTGGAACAGCGGTTGACGTAGAGGAGATTCTTTTTATATGTATATTTTAAATGTATTTAAAAAACAGAACTTTTTTTTGCTTAACCTGTCTTGTGCCAGTTGTGAAGTAGGCACGGGTAGGGATCTCGACATAGGATCTAGCCTAGTTGTCAGGAGGTGGGCAGGCTGGGACCCAGCCAGCTGCCCGCAGAGACACCTGAGCTCTTAGGCCCAGAGTGCTGTCAGGTGAAAGAAGAGAGTGCACAGGAGAGCAGGGGCGACTCCAGGGACTCCTCTTTTCTTTTTCTTTTGCAGAGCTGGGGAGGGAACCCAGGGCCTCCCACACACTAGGGGAGACACTCCCAGCCCCAGGAACTACTTCTGCACAAGGTAGTTTCTCTCTGGGAAAAAAGCATACAAAGACCTGACCTCAGGGCGACTTTAGGAAGGAGGCTGACCCCTCTTCCTGTGCTCTCTCCTTCTCTCTTTCCTTCCCTCCCTGTGGCTGTGCGGCCTCAGCCCTCGATGGTGAGCTGGTGAGAGGACCTACCCTCCCAGCTGGTTGCACCCTGAGTGTGAGCAGGTGCTCTGTGCTTTAGGATGGGGGGGGAATGTCGGTTTCTGAAATGGGAAGAGGGATGGGAGGGAGGGAGGGAAAAAGGAGAGAGAGAGAGATCTGAGAGGACTGGGAAAAGAACTGAGGGGAGAGAACCGGAAATGTGAGGTTTCAGGGCAAGAATGGAGCGGACTTGCTACCAGCCACTTGCCTAGCGCCTGGCTCGTAGTAGGTGCTCAGTAAGACACCGATGAGCCCAGGGTGGTGACCCACAAGGAATCCCAGCAGCTCGGCAGGCTGAAGCAGGAGGATCGCCAGTTCAAAGCCAGACTCAGCAACTTAGTGAGACCCTGAGCAGCTCAGTGAGATCTTGTCTTGAAATCAAATACGCTAGGGCTGGGGATGTGGCTCAGTGGTTGAGGGCCCTGAGTTCAATCCCTGGTACTAAAGGAAAAAAAAAAAAAAAGTTGATGCGTGAAGATGAATTGAGCAGCAAGTCCTTGAGCCTTCAAAGGCTGGGGGTCAGGTGAGCTCCTCGGTTTGTGGAATGACACTAAGAAGCTCCTAATATCAAAGGGTCGGTGGCAGGGCACTGTGTGGGTAGGACCTGGGCCACGCACCCCTCCTGCCTCCTGGGATCAGGTCTCAGCTCCCCGCGGGGGCCCCCCCCCCCCCGCTGTCCCTTCCCCCACCCCATCAATGACGCCCTTCCCCCACGCTGCTCCACTACCTGGAAGCACCCTCCAGGATCCCATCTCTCTCTCCTGTCCCCAGTGCCGCCTACCGTCAGGTTGAGTGAACATCGGGCTGCCGCCAGCGCTGGGGCCTCCCCCACCCAGCCTCCCTCCCCGCCCGGCCCCTCCCTGACACCTACAGGCCACCTTCTCGGCGCGGCTCAGCTGGGTCCAGCTGCCCTTCTCCTTCTCCTTCAGGGCTCGCTGCTCGGCGTTGAGCTGGGTGCAGAAGGGCTCGTCGGGCATGGGGTAGGAGCGCTGGGCGAAGTAGTTGGTGTAGGGGCTCATCTTCCCCTGGGCGCGGGCTGCGGCACAGGGAGAGACAGTGCCAGTCGGCCCCCCCACCTCCCTGGGATTCCCATCTCTAACCATGATGTTAATAAGAAGGGCCGCTCTTATTGAGCAAAAGCCTGGATAAGGCCTTTGGATGGGTCGGTTCACTGGCTCCTAACAGCTCTGAGCTGGGGATGGGGTCATCTCTCTCTTTTTGGCAGTACGGGGGACTTCCACAGAGCTACATCCCCAGCCTGTGTTGATTGAACCCAGGGCCTTGTGCACGGGAGGCAAGCACTCTACCAACTGAGCCATCTCCCCAACTCCTTTATTATTTTTCCTTGGGGGTGGGGATGTTCTGAGGATTGGACCCAGGGGTGTTCAACCACTGAGCCACATCCCCAGCCCTTTTTTTATATTTATTTAGAGACAGGTTTTGCTGAATTGCTAAGTACCTCGCTAAGTTGTTGAGGCTGGCTTTGAACCCGCAATCCTCCTGCCTCAGCCTCCCCAGCCACTAGTATTACAGATGTGTGCCACAGTGTCTGGTCCTTCATTTTTCTTTTTTTTTCTTCCTCTTATTTTTTGTTTTGTGGTACCAGGGATTGAACTCAAAAGCACTTGGCCACTGAGCCACATCCCCAGTCCTATTTTGTATTTTATTTAGAGACAGAGTCTCACTGAGTTGCTTAGAGCCTTGATTTTACTGAGGCTCGCTTTGAACTTGAGATCCTCCTGCCTCAATCTCCCAAGCTGCTGGGATTACAGGCTTGCGCCACCGTGCCCAGCTCCTTTTTTCTTTTTTGAGATAGGGTCTCCCTAAATTGCCCAGGCTGGCCTTGAACTTGTGATCCTCCTGCCTCAGCCTCCCAAATTGCTGGGATTAGAGGCATTTGCCTCCACTCCGGGCTGGGGTTATCTCCATTTTGCAGATGAATAAACTGAGCAGCTACGTGACTCCCTGAAATGCACAAAGCAAGAAGGAGCAGAGCCCAGGCTGCAGTTCAGCCCCTCTAGCCCCGAGTCCTGTGTTCTTTGGGAAGATCTGAGCCCAGGTTATGTCAGGCAGAGGTCCTGGCTGGGCAAAGGCTCAGAGGCAGGAATCTCTAGATATGAAACTACAAAGTGAAGAACACGTGCCCTGACGAGGAGTCAAGGGCACGCATTCGGAATCAGCTGGGGTTGAAACCCGGTTTGATCATCCCAACTCCAACAAGCCCCTTGACTTTGCTGTGCTATCCTCACCTGGAAAGTGGGATATTGAGGGTCCAGATGGTGCCCGCCTCTCTGCAGAGGCTCGGCTCACTATACCGAGTCCCAGAGGTGGGTTTTTCTACTGGCCCCCTTTCCCAGAAGCTCCCCCAATGGCTAAGCCCCCAGGGCTCCTTGTGGGGGTGCAGAATAAGGCTGGGCACCAGGGATGGTCTTGATAAGGGCTCTTCTGTTCATTGACACTGGCAACGCCCACAGGAGTGACTTGTGTCACCTTAAGGGGATAGTGTTGGAGCTGCCTTTGACAAGGAGTCCTGGCTCTTCTGAGGTACTGGGGCTCAACTTGTTCATCGGAGACATGGAGTTAGCGCAGCATCCACCTCGCACAGTTGCTGTGACGTCTAATTGCCTTAATCTATACAAAATGCTTATCTCAGCTTGGGGACCTACTAAGGCCTCAATACATGTTTGTTATTATTCTCCTGAGGTCAGAAAGTTTCTTCTGCTAGGTGGCTGAAGTCTCTCTTGCTTTAAAGCTCTTTCTTCTTAGGCCGGGGTTGTGATTCAGTGGTAGAGCACTTGCCTAGTGTGCATGAGGCCCTGGGTTCAATCCTTAGCACCACATAAAATTAAAATAAAAGATATTGTGTCCACCTAAAACTAAAAACTAAATAATTTTTTTTTTTTTTTTAAAGAGACACTTCCTTCTGACTAGGGCTGATTTCAAGGCCTTGGAAAGGAGGGCCAGCTGTAGCATCCTTTCTCTCCAAAGGGCTTAGGGGCCTGAGGGTCGGGCCCTAAATAAGGGAGATGCATCTACTTACCTCAGAGGCTCCATTTTCTGAAGGAACTTGGCTCAGGACAAAGGCATGGGGTCCAGGAAAGTGGACTGGGGCCAGGTCCAGGGCCACAAGGGAGGAAGCGGGCAGACTGTCCCTAACTCTGGGACAGAGCAAGTGGGATCTTACCAGGGCCTCCTGGGCTGTGTGTCCCTCGAGTTCCAAGTCCTCCTCTTCTCAGCACAGAGCTCCAGGCAGCCCGGGAGAGCATCTGGGCAGGTATGGAAGAGTTCTCCCCCTGCTCTTGCCCACCCCGCAGGGCCCAGGAAACTGTTTCCCCGTGTAGTGGTAGTGAAAGTCTAAAGAGGGTTCCAAGTCACCCTTATGCCCCTGACCCTTCTAATTTTGTATATTATCCCAGGGGAGGGGATAATACACTGGAGGGTCCTGGACCTGTGGATCCCTCCAGGGCACTGAGAAGTAAGAGGAGTCCTATCTCCCACCTATGTCTGAACAGTATGGGCCTGGGGGCCTGGGTTCTGGTGCCAGCCAGTTGCTCAGTCTGGCCAGACTGGGGACGCCACCTCAATTATCTGCCCCCAGGGGAAACTGGGTGGGAGTCCAGGTACGGAAAGGGCAGATCCTGAGGCTCTTCCCCACAGGGCCATCTGTGGAGGCCTCAGCACAGATGGCCCCGGGAGGGGGGCCCTTCCCCCTAATTGCCTGCCTACGTGCACAAGAGCTGGCTGGGCTGGATCTGGTGGGGGAGGGGACAGGCTGAGCCCCACCCCCACCCCTGGGGGGAGTCTCAGGGTCTGGCATCCCATGGGGGTGGGGAACAGCTTTAGAGGACAGAGACTAAACTGGGTTAGCAGGAGGGGGTGGTGGGCACATCTGGGGAGAAGAAGAAAGCATTCCACTTCTGGAAAGAGAAAGGGGTGCCCCAGAACTAGAGAGCGGCAGGGGGCACATCTTATGTGATAAGTGGGAGGGGTGCCCCCACAGCTGGAAAGGAAGGACTGGGGTCAGGGATCAGTGGTGGGAGAGCTCCGTGCATCAGGAGCTGCAGCCGGGAATCTGTAAGTGGGGGAAGGGGGCGCACCCCAGGTGCGGACAGAGGGTAGCCCCCCAGGAGACCCCGACCCTCCTCTGGGGCAGGGGCCACAGGGGCCTGGCCAGGCGGGGAAAACGGGGTCCGAGCCGCA